ATAAGTCTAAAATGATGTATAGTAGTAAGTGTCTTTATTTTTGGAACTAAAGTTATCAATGTTTGATTCCAATGAGGCAAAAGATTTCCTGTTTCAAAGAAATACCTAACACTGAACACACATCATTAGAGATTAAAGACCAAAACTTTTGAAAAAATAGAGGCGTCATTCCATCTACACAAGGTGATTTTGTGGGTTGCATTGAGAAAACAACAACTTTAATTTCTTCGTCTGTGACCTCAGAAAGAAGACCTTGATTCATATTTTCATCTATGGTAATAGGTATATGCAGTAATATTCTCAGTAAGTCTGAAAGACAGGAATAAGTAAACAAGTCACTATAAAAATCTTCCAGTTCTTTCACAATACCATATTTATCACTTATCCATTCTCCAGGCGCACTCTGTAAGAGACAGAGTCTCTTATCTAGTATAAGGAGTATGTTGGGCCTTTCCTTTCCTAGTCCAATTAATTAGTAAAAGCCTTCTTTTTTTTAATTGGTCAGCCCAGTTGGGTATTACCCTTAGTAGATCAAGTGAAGCCCCATTCTAGAAGATTACCACGTGTCCTTAACGTGTCCTTCAATTAATGGGTCTGTTATTTTCTTTTGTTTGTATTAGCTCAGTCCTAGTTGTCCTTTAAATATCATTAGAGTCTGTACAAGGATTTAGGGAATTATGAAGAATTTCTATCTTTTCTATTGATTTTCATTTTTGTCTTTCAATTGCTACTGTTCTATTGAGCTAATCATAGCTCAAGTGTTACATTTGGTATCAGAGCCTGAATCTTGGCAGCGATGGTCGATAAACAACGTGGTGCTCCGATGGATGAGGCCGTCAAACAATTGGAATCTCAGTTCCAAGAATTTATTGTTGATACCGCAAAGAAATTCGATAAGATGGATGAACGACAGAATGTTTTTGAAACAAAGATGTTGGATCTTGCGGAATCCACTAAACAAATGCAAGAAATGATACTGATGCAGCTAAGCTTGAACAAAACTCAAGGTTCGGTGGCCTCCACCAGTTCACCAGCAATGATGAGCTTCGGTGCTTTTGCCATGGAATCTGGGCAGTCTTCAGTTGCTGGTAATTATCACTCTAACACTTCAACTCCTTCTCAAACAACCACCGGCACCACTACAAGTAACGTCTCACACACACCTTCATCATTTCCGTTAAACCAGCCCTTTCCAATGAACCCTATTTTTTCTTCTAGCCAAATTCACACTCCATTATCATCCCACCCATTGAACCCTTCAGCTGTAGCTTTTACATCGCCCAGCACCGCTCTTTTTGTTTCATTGGGCCAATCTTCATCTTCACCTTCATGTCAACCCCTGAACTCCCCTGTAACAGCTTACCGGCCCACAAATAATTTTTATCTGACAAATCCACTATATGAGACCAACCAAATTCAGGTGCCTTCGTCATATGGTCAGTATTATTCTCAGGGCCCAGTAGTTCCGTTTGGACCATTCAATCAACCAGCTATTGGTTGGTCTAACCACACTTCGAATACTCTGAATTGGTATAGGGCCTAGTTACATCATCTTAAACTGCCACTAGCAAAACTAGTTTTTCCGAAATTTGATGAACTTAATCCACGCAGCTAGATTCGTAGGTGTAACAAATATTTTGAGTTGTATCAAGTTCATGATGACACTAAAATGATTTAAGTTGCAATACACTTGAAAGATTTTGTTGACAACTGGTTTGACAACTACGTGCTTGATAGGGGTGGTCATGTGGCGTGGCCTACCTTTTGTGTGGATGTGTGTAAACGATTTGGCAACAACAGACCCGTAGGGGTGACATCAGAGTTTAATCGTTTGTCACAAATTGATGATGTTGAAAGTTATCAACAAAGATTTGAAGAATTAAGATGTTTAATTTCCTTGAATAACCATCGTTGCGTGAATCCTATTTTGTGGAGTGCTTTATTGGGGGTTTGAAACCTGATATTCTGCCATTAGTAGAGTATGCTAATTCCAGAACATTGATGGATGCTTATAACTATGCCAAGCTTCATGAACAATCCTTCAATGCCCTTTACCAGCAAATGTATTCTCAATGGACCAAGAAACTTTCTACACAATTTTCCAAGCCCACTTTCCCCCTAGATCCAGTAAAAAGCCCTAATGTTGTTACCCTTAAAAGCCCAGCAAACCGAAAAATGTCCTTAGAAGAAATGCGTGCAAAGAACCTGTGTTATAAGTGTCTAGACAAATATCATCCGGTCACCAGTGTAAATCAAAAGCAGTACAAGCGACGGAAGGGGAAGAGTTTTGCGATGCTGCTGAGGTTTTGCAAGAAGAAGGGCAAGAGGAAGCAGTGGAAGGACACGATCAGGGAGAAGTGTCCATTAATGCCATAATGGGCCGTGATAAAACTCCTTCAACCATTAAAATTTTGGGTTGGGTAAGAAGCATCAGATAATAATTTTGATTGACAGTGGATCCACTCACAGTTTCATGGATCCACTCACAGTTTCATTGTTGTCAAGCCCTACTGATTTCTTACCTAGCAATGCGCGTAAAGGTGGCCAATGGTCAGTATGTATGGTGTCATGAACATAGCAAGCAATTTAAGTGGAAGATACATGAGTTGGAGTTCACTTTTGATATGAAATTGGTTAAGGTAGGGGGTTGTGACATGGTACTAGGAATGGACTGGATTGACACTATGGCACCTATTGTTTTACATACAAAACCACTGAGTATATCATTTATTAGGGACTCCAAAGTGGTTCATTTGCTGGGATATACTGTGATTCAACCCCCAATAGAAGTGGATGCTAGAAAGATCAAGAGGTTGCTCTACACTGGACAATGCAATTATGTAGCCCAATTGTTGTTGGCAGAAAAGTTCAAGACGGGGGATGAAATCCCAGAAGAGGTACCAAACTTATGAGCACTTACTTAGAATTGTTTCAAGAGCCTAAGGCCATACCTCCAGCTAGGCCTTGTGACCACGCAATTGAGTTGTTACCAGGTTCTAAACCAGTCAACCTTAGGCCGTATCGCTACTCATTCGAACAAAAAAATGTCATTGGGGAGATTGTAGCTGATATGCTAAAGGCTAACACTGTGACCACAAGTGTATCTCCTTTTGCCTCACCAGTCTTGTTGGTAAAGAAAAAAGAATCGAGTTGGAGATTGTGTGTAGACTATAGGAAGCTCAATGAGATTACAGTAAAAAAATAAATATCCTATCCATGTTGTTGAAGATTTACTTGACGGACTGTTTGGTGCCTAGTTTTTCTCCAAACTGGATTTGTGTTCGGTGTACCATCAAATCCGAATGAAGAAGGGCGAAGAGTACAAAACTGCTTTTAAAACCCATCACGGGCTTTGGGAATTTTGAGTGATGCCTTTTGGTCTTACTAATGCACCCGCGACATTCCAGGCTCTCATGCATCAGATATTTGGCCCATTGTTAAGGAAATTTGTGCTAGTATTTTTTGATGATATCTTAATTTACAGCACCTCTTTACATGACCACGTCAAGCATTTACAGATGGTTTTTGATCTTTTGAAGGCCAACCAATTGTTTGCAAAGTTGGCAAAGTGCAGTTTTGCTCAAAAACAAATCGAGTATTTAGGCCACATTATTTCTACTGAAGGAGTCGATACTGATGGGGCTAAAGTAGAGGCTATGTTGAGTTGGCCCGTACCTAAATCCGTCAAAGAGTTGAGGGAATTTTTGGGCCTTACTGGTTATTACAGGCAATTTATTAAAGATTTTGCTCTAATCAGCAAACCTCTATCTGAGTTACTCAAAAAGGGCGGTTTCCAATGGACAGAGAAAGCAACCCAGGCTTTTGAGGAGCTTAAACAAGCCATGGTGAAAGCCCCTGTGGTAGCATTACCTAACTTCACAATACCATTTGTTGTTGAAGTGGATGCGAGTGGAAGAGGCATTGGGGCAGTTTTGACACAAGGAGGCCGACCTATTGCTTATTTGAGTCAATCTTTAAGCACGAAATACCTTGGGCTGTCTACTTATGAAAAAGAATTGGCGGCTCTCCTCTATGTCATTGATAAGTGGAGACATTATTTGCAACCAAGTCATTTCATAATTAAAACTAATCACTTCAATTTAATATTTTTGAAAGACCAGATAATCACCACCTCTTTACAACACAAAGGTGTTACTAAGCTATTGGGCCTCAGTTACGAAATATAGTTTCGTAAAGGAATTGAAAATATAGCTGTGGATACATTATCCAGGAAATTTGAGGAAGGAACTTGTGATGGGCTTTCAGTTGTGCAGCCCAGTTGGGTGAATGAGATAATAGATAGCTATGAAGGAGACCAACAGATCCACAACCTCATCGCTAAGCTTTCTATTGACCCAAATTCAATACTAGATGTTCAATATCAACAAGGTGTCATCAGGCATCAAGGTCATATATGGGTCGGGAGTAGTGGTCAGCTAAGGAAGAAACTCATTTCAGAGTTCCATACATCTTCCTGAGGAGGTCATTCAGGGGGGTTAGCTACTCAACAACGCATCAGGAATGTCTTCTATTGGCCCGCTATTTTACAAGATGTAAAGAATCAAATTAGAGAATGTGAGGTCTGCCAAAGAAACAAAGACGAAAATGTGTCTTACCCAGGCTTGCTACAACCATTTCTCATTCCTACTCGAGCTTGGGAACATGTGGCGATGGACTTTATAAGTGGTCTGCCAAAATCACAAGGAAAAGATTCAGTTCTGGTGGTAATCAATAGATACACCAAGTACTCTTATTTTTTTGCATTAACCTACCCATACACTGCTTCACAGATTGCACAGGTCTTCATTGATAATGTATGTAAGTTACATGGCTTACCTACTTCTATCGTATCATACCGTGACCCCATTTCCATCAGTACATTTTGGAGAGAGCTTTTTAAGGGTCTTAAGGTTCAATTGAAACCAAGCTTGGCATATCACCCTCAAACCGACGAACAATCTGAAAGGTTGAATCGTTGTTTGGAGACTTACTTGAGATATATGATAGGCCATAAACCTACAGATTGGAGCAAGTGGCTCGCTCAAGCAGAATTTAACTCGAACTTCCACAGCTCCTTGGGAATGTCTCCTTTTAAGGCTCTCTACAGCTATGAATCTCCAATGCCCACATTTGAATTGGTGGCTCAGATCAAAGTTGATTTTGTGGATCACTTATTGAGGGAGCGTCAACTTATGGATAAAATGTTGAAGGATAATCTAATTCGAGCACAAAATCGAATGAAACATTTTGCCGATAATAGAAGAAGTGAGAGGAAATTTGAAGTAGGTGATTGGGTCTTCCTGAAATTGCAGCCTTACTGACAAAGTTCAGTAGCATTGCAGCGCAATTTGAAGCTTTCAGCTAGATTTTCGGACCTTACGAGGTAGTGCACAAAATCGGTTCAGTAGCTTACGAGCTCAAATTGCCAGAGAGATCAAAAATTCACCCAGTCTTCCATGTGTCTCAGCTCAAGAAGAAAATAGGAGATCAAATAGTGGCTTCAAGGGACCCTCCTTATTACACAAATGATGGAAGAATTCTGACTGAGCCAATATCCATTTTAGAACGAAGAATGATCAAGAAAGGAAATCGGGCAGCGGTACAATGGTTAGTTCAGTGGGCAAACTTGCCGCCAGAGGAAGCTACATGGGAGGATCTTGCATTTCTCCGTTCTCAATTTCCGGGATTTAATCCATGAACCTCTGTCAAGATACTTTAAGGGGAGTGGAATGTAAGAGACGGGTCTCTTATCTAGTATAAGGAGTATGTTGGGCCTTTCCTTTCCTAGTCCAATTGATTAGTAAAAGCCTTCTTTTTTTTAGTTGGTTAGCCCAGTTGGGTATTAGCCTTAGTAGATCAAGTGAAGCTCCATTCTAGAAGATCACCACGTGTCCTTAACGTGTCCTTCAATTAATGGGTCTGTTATTTTCTTTTGTTTGTATTAGCTCAGTCCTAGTTGTCCTTTAAATATCATCAGAGTCTGTACGAGGATTTAGGGAATTATGAAGAATTTCTATCTTTTCTATTGATTTTCATTTTTTGTGTTTCAATTGCTACTGTTCTATTGAGCTAATCACAGCTCAAGTGTTACACACTGTCAATTCCTTTTATTAGATTTTGGCGTCTTCTTTGAAGAGTAGACATGTGAAAAAAAAAAAAAAAAAAATATTTTTGTCTCCCTCATTTAACAATTGCACCATAGATTTTGCTTCCAGTAAATTTCTTCATCCCTATAAGCCTTACCTGACTCTTTTTTCAATATTTCAATGCGTGCAAATTCGGGTCCTTTTCGGTTAATTTTTTGCTTCCTCGAGATGATTTTTTAATACATTAATTTTCACTTTAGAATTGGATCCGCCCTTCTTGATCCAAGACAGAAGGTTTTTTCTATAGTGTCTAATCTTAAAACAGACCCTCTGTTGTCTACGGCCCTCACTTTCCCAGACCAAGCATTTTCAAGGTAGAAAAGAGATTATTAATATTAGCTATCAGTGAATTTTAACATGTAATAGCCTGTATTTACCATTGACATGATTTATGAATATTTCTTATACTTTAGTTAACTCAAAAATATAAACTGAAAAAGGGCTGGATATATTCTATCTTGTCATTTTCTTAATGTTTATTGTTAAGGTATATATAAACTGAAAACGATGAGCACTATTGAGTGGTAACCCATGCATAGGATAAGAAGAAAGGATTGACGCATAACTAAGGGGGGAAAAAATTATAAAAAATTGTTTTTCATTCTCTTCCCATTTTCTTCGTTTTTCTCTTCTGTCTTTCCCTGTTGTATTTACTGTCTTCACGAATATCTTTTCCATTCTGTCGTTTATGTTTCCTTTCCCCTTCTACGCTTGTCCCTGTCATCCTTTCTTTAATTCTTTTTTATCTTTTCCGGAAACATATTACTTTCATCAACAACAAATCCAATCAACAGATAATACGCCAATAGCAAAAGAATACCTAATCATGCATTTTGCCTGCAATATAAATTTTCCATTCTCAATACTTGCATCCAAAATTCCAGCTCCTGATATTAGCTTCTTATGAAAATTGGATGAAAGTAACCTCATGGCAGAAGATACCTCTCCCCAGCTTCCGTTTACAGTTGTTATTTTCAAAGAAAGTTCTCATCAAAATAAGTGTGAATTCAAAACTTTTCCTTTTTCTCCTCTTTTGCCAATCTCCTAATATAATAGAAAGAACTAAAGAAAAGGTCCACTATTTGTTTGTTGGAGTGTACGTAATCCATTGCAGCATAATTATCTGAACTTATACCGCTGAGTAATTTTGTATGCTGAGAGAATAGATGAACTTCACTGATATTCAAACTAGTTCTAGTTTTACAGCTTACAAGTTAAAATTTAGTGATCTCTTTTTGGTAGCCTAGTCCGATCTTCAATCTTCTCCTATGAAAACTTAATCCAGAAATCTTATGAATTATAGCAAACTGACCCTTCAGGCTCATCTTGTAATTGCACCAGAGTACAGAGTAACCACCATTTTCCACCAGATGTGGCATCGCGCCTTCACACTACCTACGTTTACTCATCTGAGGGACACTTGCTAATGACAATAACCAGAGCATATTTTCCCTGATACAAGTCACCGGACAAGTATTAGGGGAGTTGGAACAAAGATAAACATGAGAAACAATACAGACATAGTGTACCTTATTCCCCTTTGTATGGCACAACCTATAATACAAGGAAAAGGTGACAAGTGACAACCCTTTTCCGCCACTAGACATAAGCAAAGAGTCACAGCTCACTCACATGAAGTGAAGACCTGCAGAAGATGCAGGAAAACAACATGCAAGGAACTCTAATACTCGAAGACCAAGCAAAACAACTTAGATTTATAGCAAGATATCCGATGTAACAAATACTAAATAAGAATTCCAAAACTGAAACAGTTGAGGCCTCGAAACCACGAAAAACAGGGAGAATGCAAAAATCCTATTTCCAAGATATTAGCAATCTAAACGCCTTCAAATCAGTATGGCCAAATGGCTCCTCTAGATGCACTTTCCTAATAACGCCCAATTCCCCATACTCTAATCAAACCATCTGTGTATCCACCGAAAAGTGTACTTCCATCAGCACTCCAGCTCAAACAGGTGCAGTATATGATCTGCCAATTGAGATGCACAATATCAGATCCACATATAATGTATTTCCCATTCAGAACAATTGAAATGTAACATAAAAATAATTCGGTCCATCTGATGCACGCTTTAGTAGAATGTTATAGACTTGGAAAACTTAAAAACTATACGAAAACAAATGCTTCAGCCACCAAAAAGAAGAAATCCATTGACACCATGAGTGACAAATAACACCCAGATGGATCAATACTTCTAAAAAGATCTAAATAACTACTTAGAGAACAATATCCGACAAATGCATTTCCCGACCAAATGTAAAAACAAGTGGCCAGAAACAACCATTAAATCGTGCAATGCTTCTCATCAGGGTGGGCCAGCTACTTCAACTAGGGGATACAAAAAAGTGCAAATATGCACAAGGGATACGACATTTCACACATGTACGGATAATTTTTGTTTTACCCTACTTGTATTGTGCAATTTCCCGATGAAGTGGATTCAATTGAATCAACACAGTTAGCTCTGCATAGTACATATTACACCACAAATTTTAGAGACGGTAAGCAGCTGATCAAAGCTCAGAATAACAGGTCATTAACAGCAATATCACACAGCAAATGTTAAAATTATCCTACATTCTTAATCAGGTTATGCTGCCTATGCATTTGGCATGGAGTGGAATACATCTCTTCTGCTAAATGTTTTACCTTGGGATATCATTTTCTAGAGCATTTTGACATATGACATTTGTCAATAACTATTGACAACAAAGTGTTGATTAAAGCTAAGATTGTACAAGAGTTGGAGATATTTGAAAGATAAAATGACTACCTCAGCTTGGTGAAAGTATTTTCCTTGGAACAGAATTTTGTAGATTCCAAATTAACCGAACACTACAACTTTTCCTAGAGGAATTTATTTTTTCAATCACACCAGATATAACCTAATTCAACGAATTAACTTATACAATACCTGAATTCAAACAGCAATAATCATCACACGAAACAACAGAGTCCAACAAAAACAAAATATAAAGCTCATAAAATTAAAAATCAAAAGGACAATACAGACCTTGTTTTTGGCAGCAGCAGTTCCCTCAGCAGACATTTCACTCTCTTGTTTCAGATCAACTTTAAGATCCACCACGATGCTCTTACTCTCCAAATCCCAAATCTTAATACTTGATTCCGTAGCAGCACAAAGCCAATATCTATTCGGACTAAAACATAAAGAATGAATAATAGACCCAGCCTCAAGCGAATACAGTTTCTTTCCCTCAGCCAAATCCCAAAGCAAAATAACTCCGTCCTTTCCTCCACTAGCACACAATGAACCATCAGGAGAAACCGCCACGGTGTTCACATAACCACTGTGTCCAGCTAGAGTGGACCTTAGCTTACAGTTCGTTAAATTCCAGATTTTCACAGTCCGGTCCCACGACCCAGAAACAATAGTTGGCTGAAGATTGTTTGGGCTAAAACGGACACATGAAACCCAATCGGAATGTGAGTCCCCATCCGTTATTGTGTACTTGCACTCACCGAGCGTGTTCCAAAGCTTGATAGTTTTGTCACGTGAGGCTGACACGATTTGACGGTTATCAATAGAAAATGCAACGGACAAAACATCCTTAGTGTGACCTACGAAACGACGAGCGGTTGTACCAGCTTNATAAGTATTAGGTTTAAGGGTTATTTTGATATATATTATATTTTGTTAAGGGTATTTTAGGTAAGAAGAAAAGCCAAAACTGCTTCTACTTCTGCTTTTGGAAAGAAGCTACTTTTTTCTGCTTCTCTGAAACTGCTTCTGCTTCTTCCCAAAAGCACTTTTTTTCCCAAATAAGCTTGGGCAAACACCTCAAATTAGGAAAAAAAAGTGCTTTTGGGAAAAAAAGTGCTTTTTTTCTCTTGAGAAGCTTGGCCAAACGGGCTATTATTGTACCAAAATCACTGACTTAGTTTTACTGATGAAAATGTCACTCGATTTTACATTTTTACTTAGACAAAGGTTTTTTGTAATCACATGTAGGAGTGGGCGTTCGGTATTTCGGTTCGGTATTTAAGAATTTCGGTTCGGTATTTCGGTATTCGATATATCAATTGTGTATACCAAATACCATACCAAAATATTTCGGTACGGATCAGTATTTATTATTTTGGTTCGGTACGGTTTCGGTTTAATACTATGACTTTTACCTTCCTGGGTTGATGCAACTTTTCTCTATTAGTTGATTAGTTCACACACACTCCTATTAGTAGTATATGAACAAAGTACTATTGATCAATTCTGAATCAAACAGAGGAGAAGAAAGAACTTCAAAACAGAAACTTTTGATTTTTTACAACTTGCATTACAAATTGAAAATCAACTAAAACTACAACAAATACATAAAAAAAATATAAAGCGCCTTCTAATAATATCATCGTACTAGCTTCCCCGACGTCCAAACCAGCTGCATACAAAAACTGCTTAACTGTATATTATCTGTAAACTGTAATTTTCCGAGCTGATCCCTATTCGAGTTTGGCGGTTAGTCAATTCTCCGCGCCGTCTTACGAGCTAAAGAAGCTGATATCTTAGCTTCTCATTTTCAGTAAAAAAGATTCAACGACCCAATTGATTCAACGAGGAAACTGTAGTGACATCCTCACACCCAATTGATTCCACGACATCTGAACGTTGATGGCACTAAAAATATTAAAATAGCGTGCTAGCCTGGAAACAAAGACAACGAAATATGTTGTTGCTAGGCTTGGGCAGTTGGGCTGGGGCGATGGGTTGAGGCGCTGAGAATTAAATTAAAAACGTTTGGGCTTGGGCGCTGGGCTGGGCAGTGAGATATAGGTCCAACTTAAAAAAATGTCTTTAAAAATTTGGTAATTCGGTATACCGAAATTTTAAAATTCTAATACCGAGGACCGTACCGAAATACTAAAAATACAATACCGAATTAGACCGAAATATTGAAAAAACCGAAATTAAAATACCGAATTGATTCGGTCCGATTCGGAATTCGATTTTTCGGATTTTATGTCCACCCCTAATCACATGTCACTTAACTTTGCCTAGAGTATATAAAAAGTCTCCAGGAGGAAATAAATGAGATATTTTCTGTAATACTTAGTCAAAATCGAGTGACTTATTGTTATAAAAATATTATTTAGTAACTTTTTGTAATATTTAAGCATACTTGAGTTATTTTTTTAATTATAAAAATAGTTGACTTATATATATTGATTTCCAGCAAAGGACAATCAACTGATCATTCTTCGACATAGGTAACTCACCCTTAGTGGTGGTAAAATTGTTAAAAAAAAAATATTTAACCACCCATATTATCCGCTAAAACATAGGTAGAATAATGAACTTTTTAAAAACGGGTCAAATATGAATACGAACCATATTATCCATTTAGAAAATGGATAACCAATAGATAAATGGGTTTAACTTTTACATTTATAACGCCTCAAATTTGGGGTTCCTCAAGTTTGAGAGACTAGGAATTCTCTCAAAAGTGATCATATTCAAGAAGTCATTATTAATATGGTTACCCATATTATCCGCCGGTTAACCCGTTTTTTATCCGTATTAAATATGGGTCAGATCGGATAATTTATCCATTTTTTTGTTATCCATTTTCGACCCGAACCATATCCGACACGACCCGCCCGTTTGCCACTCTTACAGTCACCCTGCCGAACATGGTGGTATGTGGCCGCTAAAAGATAGATCTATGTGTTGAAGTTCTCCTGATGCCAAATTGTAGAAAGAGCGGTAAAACTATACCACCTTTATAGCCTGTTTGGCTAAGCTTATTTTTTGCCAAAAGTGTTTTTTTTTTTTTTTNNATTTTTTGCCAAAAGTGTTTTATTTTTTTTTTGCCAAAAACACTTTTGGCCAAAAATTAAGTTGTTTAGCCAAGCTTCTGGAATGAAAAAAAGTACTTTTAAGGAGAAACAGAAGCAGTTTTGGAGAAGCAGAAAAAAGTAGCTTCTCTCCAAAAGCACTTTTGAGAAAAATACACTTAGAAGCAGTTTTTTAAAGCTTGGTCAAACACTAATTACTGCTCAGAAGTGTTTTTCAAACTAATTAACCAAACACAAACTGCTTCTCACCAAAAGTACTTTTGAGAAAAGCACTTTTGAAAAAAAGCGCTTCTCAAAATAAACTAATTTTGCAGCTTGGCCAAACGGGCTATTAGTCCCATGGATTTTATACACTTAATAGACAAATGAACAACTAGAAGCCTAGCTAGAGTACAATGACAGCTTCATTCATTTGTGCAACAGTCTCTCAACAACCAAAATAATTACAATTTCTCGACCTGAATCAACGAATACAGAGCAATGGATTTACTTTAAGATGACATTTGAACAGCAAGTACATTTCTCAGTACAAGTCTCTGGAGGCAAAGGGTAGCCGAGTGCATAAAGCATCCCGCATTCACGTGGGGTCCGAGGAAGGACCGCATCCCAAAGGATGTGATGTAGACAACCTACTCTAATTCAAGCAACTGCTTCCACTGCTCGAACCCGTGCGTGCAAGTCTTTGGAGATCAACTAATATTATGAAAAGAATGCTATGAAGTTTATGCATGACAAAACGAATGCTATGAGATACCAGTAAACCGATGCCAGAAAAGAAGTTGCAGAAGATTGATCGTTGATCTCTGATGAGTCGACTGCAAGTGGCAAGCCGTCACTGCTAAGCGTGCATGATTGAGGATCAGAACCATCTTTGCTCATCATTAGAGCCCTTAAAACAGCAGAAACTGTATGAATATAACCAGATGTATTTTTGTTGAGAAGCCAAGTTAGACCCATCATTTGGCAATCCCTGCTGTGCATTTTGCTAATCCTATCCTTTCTTATATTTGTATTCTCCGATCTGCTGTCACTAAGCTGCAGTTATATTTCAACTTATTAGAGAATAGACAAAAAAATATTCACTTGATGGTGCAAAACTTAGTTATTCAGACACGACATGCTCAGCCGTTAGCGGACAAATTACCCACTTCACCATGCTTCCTAGCAGGAAACTATTCTAACTAACAAATAGATACATTTCATGCTTGTAATATGGCAAATAAAATGCATGAGTTTGTTGACCTCCAAGATAAATGCAAATTACAAGATGGTAAAAGTAGCCACAGGAAACAACTGACCGTAACACAGGGCAACAACACATGGGTAATTTTTGACTAACTACTGCAAAAGGTTATGGTCAGGGGTCCGAGTCCATTCTTCACCCCCGCCCCCCACCACCCTCCAACTCACCAAACACAGAAGATCCAGCCAAGTATCCGCTAAGGTGACTTTTTTGCATATTTCTTTTCCTATTATCTAATGATCAAGAAAACCATCTTAAAATTTATTCAGTAGATGAAGTTCAACATGCTCCAGTATTGCAAGAGACTTAATACCTTTTTTCTTTTTTCTTTTTCTTTTTTCAGCCCCAGCTTTGCTTACGTTCACACCACAGCACAGGACTAAGAAAGACAAAATTTAGAGGAAGAATATCTCCACATACATCAGTCGTGAGTGGAATACTAACCTTAAAACGACTGATATTCCGGAGTTTGTTCTGTGAACAATCACTTTTAAGTTAAAATTAGTTTTTGCCTGCTATAGCAGATCGATTCTTTAATTCATGCTGGTTTGACAATCTAAGACAAACAGCTGGTGATATTTACTAATCCTCCTTATTAAAAGTATTTACTAATTCTGAGCCCTCAGATATACTAATCACCTATCTTCTATAAAAATTGATGCTAGTTAAATGATATATGCACATCTGCCAGCGCTCTAGAGATGATGTTCATTGTCTAAGACTACTTGATTACAGATGAAACTTCCTGAACCATTAGTGTTGGAGGGTCTTCAGAAAGAGTGATCATAACAACAAAGCCACTCACATTTTGCTTTTCTTATTCTTCTTTAAGCACCCTGTGCCGAGGGTCTATTGGAAACAGTCTCTCTACCTCCACAAGGTAGGGTAAGGTCTGCGTACACACTACCCTCCCCAGACCTCAATATGTGGGATTATACTGGTATTTTGTTGTTATTGTTATTCTTCCTTAAGCAGGAGTAGATAACTGTAGTTGCTTCCTAATATCATGATAAGCGCTGCAGAAAATCTATAGTTTAAAAATAGATACGAGCCAAGAACTTGACTTCCTGTGAGCTCTATCCATCACATTCTTATCAGGGACAACAGGAAATACAAAAACAAGTTAACACACAAGCTATTTTAATAACCGGAAAAGAAGATGCTTAATGCTATTGTAATCAAGTAATCAACCAATGACTTTCGCTGCAATCATTTGAATTATAGTTTATCAATTGGTTGCCTACATCAAAGCAAAGCACAAAGCTGATGAATGAAGGAATGGAAGTGTCCAAGTCAGGGGCAGAGCCACAGTGTCGGAAATGGGTTCGGCTGAACCCAATAGCTTTGGTTCGAATTCTGTATTTGTTTTAAAAAATTCATTAAATATATATAAATTATTAATTTAGAATCCAATAGCTTAAAATGATTAGAATCCCGAACTTATAAATTTGAAATCTCAGCTCCGTTTCTGGTCCAAGTACAATTTAATGAATCACAGTCCTAACTTACGAATGTGTTACCTTATAAAAAAATGCCAGATAGGGAAGAATGTGGTTAGTGTAGGCCCTCGTTGTTGATCATTAGCTATAGAAGATATTGTGGTTGAGCAACACTAAATGCCTTTTCTCTTCTACTTTTATTTATCTATTATTTATTACCCAAGGATGAGGGTTACGGCAAATTGATGTTCACAGAAAAATAATCAAATTATGATAACAACAACCCAGTATATTCCTACAAGTGGGGTCTGGGGAGGATAGGATGTACACGGCCTTACCCTTACCCTGGAAGGGCAGAAATGTTATTTCCGAAAAAATAATCAAATTACAATAAATCTTCTAAATATCAGGACTCATATAATTAACGAGTCAACTAGTTCTGGATTGAAGTATACTTGATTAATTTATTGATTGACAATAGGGCTAGATATGCCCATTGTACTATCGAAAATTAGTTATAGGTATCCCTATTATACTATTCGTTACTATTGTCGCTACCCATTTTAATATTTCTATTTCTAATATCTAACATACCCATTCCCAAGGACACATGGTGCCATTTTGGACAGCCTAATCATTTACCCATTAACCCACCCCGTTCAGCCCCGAACCCGATTAGGCCCCAATCACCTCTAAGAAGACATAATCTTGTTTTCTTCTACCAGACTAGGTTTTGCCCCATCATTAAATCCTAAGTTAAATGAAGGTCTGTTACAACAGGTTAACACGATATTTAAATCCAATCAAGAATGTAACATCTTTATACTCAGTCTGGAACACAAATAACAACGTACTTACCAAATGAAGACTATTCAAGCACTTGGAGCAACCAGCAATACCAGAATATCCATTACTGCTCAAACACTCTGTCTCCAATCTATTTACCCTCTCACCGCCAACCAATTCTCTACGCGAATTCACAAAAAAAGCTTCTGGGCAGCTAAGTGGATGCAGCCTAATGCCACAGTAACAATAAACCATATCACAAGTCTCATTTGGCTTCACCAATTCAATACCTCTATTTTCCAAAGCCTTTCCAAAAGAGTTTACACATGTCTCTGAATCATCAGGGAGTACAGGCATGTTAACAGACGTTGAGTACTGTGGAAATTTTGCTATGGCTTTGTGAAGTGCGGTTCTTGAGTAGGCCGTATAAAGCCATGCAGCGAGAACGGGGCAACAACGGGTCGGATTTATTTGACCCGAATGATCATTCGACCTGCAAGCTGATCTTATCCCTTTGTACAGCTCTTCTGGTATGTCCAGAGGACAACTATCAATGTTGGACTGCTCCGGGAAAGCTGGAATTGTTGATGGTGGTGAAGGGGATGGTGAGAGTATTTGAGGATCCAACTCAGTTGGGTCGGGTTCGGGTAAAACCGGAAAGGCAGGTAATACAGTTAGATTGGCCATGCAAAGAATTGTCAAGAAGAAGAAGAAACAGTTGAGGGACATTGCTTTGAGAATGAGGGAAGTTGAATTGAGTGGTTTAATAATTTGTACAGATAAAGATATATGGGAGGGAAAATGGAAGTATTGATTATAATGGTGTGTTATTTTCCCTTTGGTTTGTGGTGGTGGATTGGTACTTGGTAGTGCATAGGTAGATGGAGCCTTCTGATAATGTGTACAGCTAAACCGGGTATTTCCTCCGTTTCAATTTAGATGAACTAGTTTGACTCGGCACAGAGTTTAAGAATTTTTTCTTTTTTTAAACTTGTGGTCTTAAAAATTTAAGGGGTAAAACCTTTGTGGGGCCATGACATTTGTATTGTTTTAAAAGCTTCTCGTTAAGGTAAAATGAGTAAAATGAAGAGTTTAAAGTTGAATTATTTTCAAATTTAGAAATGTGTCATTTATTTTGAAACAGACTAAAAAAGAAACTAACTCATCTAATTTGAAACAGAGGGAGTAGTATATTATTCGACACAAAAGATATATATGTGAATTTTTTTTAAAAATATAATGTCAGTACTGAGAAGAGGAGCCTTGGAGTAACATTAAAGTTATCTCCATGTGACCTATAAGTTATGAGTTCGAGCCGTGAAAGCATCCACTAATGTTTGCATTAGGATAGACTGTTTACATCATATTCTTTGGGGTGCGGTACTTTCCCGAACCCTGCGTAACTACGAAATATCTTGTGCACCGGACTGCCTTCCATTGCAATCACATTACTAAGAACTTTTAAAAGTTGAATCACCAACATTTAATCTTGAATATGCCTCCCATAGTGAAAAAACAGTGACAGTAGTTCAAAAGTTGATGTTGAAGGGACTGAATGGGAAGCTAATAAGGGTGATGTGGGGTATGGAATGTCTTTGTTTGTTTGTTACTCTTGTTAGGCTTAGATATGTATGATCAGATTTCATGGTATGATTTAAAGCAAATAGGGGAACTGTGTCAACAACTTCTACTATTGGTCAACAACAATAACAATCCAGTAAAATCTCACTAGTGGAGTCTGGGGAAGGTAGTATGTACGCAGACCTTACCCGTACCACGAAGGAGTAGAGAAGCTGTTACCGGAAAACAAACAACTTCTTCTATTGGTCATGATTTACAAATAATTCATTGGCAGGTATCTCATATGCAAGTGAAGCCGGAATAGTTGCTTTCAACAACCCAGTAGAATTCCTCCCAGTGGGGTCTGTACAAAGACCTTACTCAGAGGCTGAAACCGAGAGACCTCGGCTCAGAGACAATAAATTTGTGACAACAAAACCCGTAAAAATAATATCAACAACGTGAGAGAAAACATGAGGAGAGGGAATAGATTTTGCTATTTGAAATATTTACTAGCATTAGGTTCTTGGGTAGTTTTAGAACTTAATTATGCGCAATACCAAGAAATTGATGCCCTATAATGTTAAGCTGGTACGTCGAGATAAAATAATTTCTTGTTGCCTCTTACAATTTGAACAGAAGAAAATAATCTTTTCAAATCTCTTGTGTGTTATTTTCAGATATCTTATGCGTAAAAATAAAAATCTCTTATAAAAAAGTCATAAAAAATAAATAAATTTGTAAGGACTACAAAAACAATTCTCCCGTCAGTAGATCAGCTAGTAGTGTCATGCATGGTAAACAAAAAGGTTAACCAAATGTTAGGTCTTGTTGTGTTATCTCATACAGTAATATTTACCAGAAAAGCATCAATTACAGTGGGTTGAAGTTGTACTCATTATTAGTAGGTTTTTGGTACGTAACAGCAGAGTACAGGAGAACAATAAAACTTCGATAAACAATCATCAAATTAAAGGAAATTTATGAATAAAATGGTGGGGAAGTTAACTGTTGCAATGTACGTAAGTGGTGAGAGAGCTCTCTGAATAGAATATTTCTTTTGATATTTTTAAGCCCTAATAGTAATGGTGTTTAATTATTTTTGGCACTTATAAGTTTACGACCACAAAAAAGAAACGAAATAAAAACAAAAGAAGGAACAAAGACAGAAGATAATTTATAGTTGGAGAAGTGGTCCAGAGAAAAAGTTTCTTTTTCTTTCTTTAACATAAAGAAAACATCAACTATTTCATTATAAAAACTATTTAGTAATAATATACCTGAATATGGCCTGCTACTAAATTGTTAGTTATATATACTTATCTTATTCACTAATATCTTCTCAAGTCTCAATTAACCTCCTTCGCTTTCTATATATGGTAATTTCCAAGCCAAAGGACATTTCTTTGTGTCTCTGTTTCTATATATCACCGGGGACAAAAATTCAATTCTTTTTGTGATTTTAATCTAACTAGTATCTATAAATATGCGTTGCACGTTAATAGTGACATGTGATGATTTAAACATTTATTTATATGAAGGAACAATAAAATTTAATTAATAAGAGAAATTTTATGTATAATAATACAATAGTCATCTAAATACCGAAAATTATTATTACATTAATATAATACATGAATTTAATATAAAAGGATACCATCAAAACTTATACAAATAATCAAATTTGTCATATTAGTTAGATAATTAAGCATTATAGTTTAAAAGTATTTAATGTGATGATATCTTAACGAACACTTCTTTATGGACAATATTTTTTTTGTGTATGTTTCCTCCTAATGCCATGGTTGCTCTGCCTAAACCTGAACTCTTGTTGTCGATCTTGATATCCCTCTTGAAAATGCAACCTACAGTTGTTCGTGCAAGAAAACAAATTGCGGTAAATATAATCCAATATTTAGGATGTTTGTCCTTGTGCTTTATTTATTATATTTGCAAAACATAAACATACTAAAAATTATTTTCACACAAATTTAAAAGGATATTCCTCAGTTTCAAAAGACGAAAGTTGAATTCATGGATAAGAATATACTTCGAAGCACATTGACCAATATCATAATTTTTGCATGTATGACGTTATTGTCAAAACTTCTATATACCATATGTGTGCTATTACATAAGCTATTCGGTGTATCTAACTTTTCAGTAGCATGACAAACATATTTTTCTTCAAAATCAACGTATATATAATAGAAGATCAATTTTAACTTGGTCTATTATATATACGGCGACACTAACATAATTCGTAAGAAATAATAAACTTGACAATAAACATGTATGGTAGAAGGCCATTTGGTATTAAGTATTCTTCTTGGTAACAATTATTGATATTATTTTCTGTTGAGTCAAAAACAAAAAAATATTTTATTTTTACTATAAAATTTTGCAATCAATCTTTTATTTAGTTGATCAATATATTCATTTCTGCTAGCTAAGATATCTTTTTAATTCTATCATGCAATTTGCAAAAATTACATTTTAATCTAACTAGTCTTGCGCGTGTACCCCATATCATTAAACATATAATTTAAAAAAATTACACAAATAATATTTAACCAATGTCCTTGGGCAGTTGGGCTATAAAACAAAAGGTAGATTTTTTGAAAATATAAATTTTGATGATCCCATTTAGCTAACTCAATAAAGGAAGAAATCTTGCTCTATAAAAATCCGTAAATACTTTATTCTTATTTCTAAAGAACTCCGTGGGAATATCTTATGGAATTTATTATTGTTTATGTGAGTAATATTTAAAACAAGCAAGTAATGTATAAATATTGTTATCAAGATTCTTTAAAGATTTGTCAAATAAAACCTATTGAAAATTTAAAAAATAATCTCTTTTGAGATTTGGGAATGAAGAGGTTGTCCCTATTGTATTGGGAAAAATTATATTTAAATATAAAGGTGACGTGTCGAGACACGTAAACTGGTCAAATAGTCAAAAAATTACAATTAGCCAAGAGACACGAGTTGCAACAGATACGAGCAAATGACAGAGGAAGAGGCACGGACAGTTATTCAAATAACTCAGCGTCCGTACCTATTTAAATCATTTATGTCGGAGAATCAAAAGGAATGAATCTGACAATAGAAAAGAGTGTAGATACGACATTTAATAGGCATTAAATGTGGAATACGTTAGAGAATTTGTATTTAATGTAATGATTATGTAACATAGCATTCAATGTCTTTAATTACTCATAATAGCCTCATTATGATTTCGGCAAAACATATATCTCCAAGATATCTATAAAAGGGAGATATCTGATCAATTGTAAGGACACGAAACACTATTGGAATAAATTTTGGTTTACTTATTTTTCTCTTGATTACTCTCTTGCTACCTAAATTACTTCCTTTTATACATTCTTTTGATTATCAGTAACCCGTATTCTTCTAAATTCTAGCTTTGACTAAAATTTTATTTTTTTATTAAACAAATTAGTTCCGTTACCGGGAAACTGATAATCTATTTTCTTTTCACTTAACTTTCCTTGTTGCATCAATTATGTCGAACAACAATGACAACACTCAAGGAAACCAAGAGAACCAACAAAATCAGGGAGATCCACAGAATATTAACACTCAAGTTCCTACTCCACGAGACTCTCCACGGCAATCTCGTGAGGGTACTCCTGATGGATCTCAAAGAAACGAGTATGCTCAATTTGAAAATGCTGAAGCTGTTGATGAAGCTTTGCAGAAATTAATTGCTGCTCAGGTCAATAAAGTTGTTGAGGCACTTGTTAACCAGTTAACTGTTGCAACACCCACACCTACTCCAAATAATAACATTTTGAAAAACCCTCGTTCAGGGCTTGTTAACTCAGGCAGTGGTGGAACTCCCAGTGAATCACAGGAGAGAGAACTAGGTAATGTAATTAATTCTGATTTACAAAATTTAGTGCTAACCTTGCAGAAACAACTCAAGGAGCAAATTGAGTGCATAGAGCAGATACCCGGGGTGCCGCCCATAATCAAAGGGGTAGATATGGATAGATATTCGCAACAACCCTGGAAGCCAAGTGCTGCTCCACTCCCAATTCCAAAAAAGTTCAAAATGCATGATATTCCAAAATATGATGGAACAACAGACCCACGAGATCACGTGATTGCATTCACAACGGGCGTAAAAGGCAACGATTTGACTAAGTAGGAGATTGAATCAGTATTAGTCAAAAAATTTGGTAAAACGCTCACCAAAGGAGCACTAACATGGTATTCTCTTTTACCCAAAAATTCTATAAATTCTTTTGCTGAGCTTGCAGATTCTTTCATCAAA